AAACCTGCAAAATTAGATCTTAGAAGAATAAGAGAGTACACCTAGTTTTGTGAGGGATGGTACTGTGTGCAAGGACACTAACATTTAGATCAAGATTATAGGGCCACAGCAAATGCATAAACTCAAGATGTGCATGATAATGCTGCTCAAATATCCACTGTTCTTTTTCCATATGAACAGTAGATTCATTCCATTAGAACATAAGATCATTACACCCCCATTAGAATTTAAATGTTAGCATTTTTCCTTTTAACAAATTTGTACTTACATTTAGCAATAAACATAGGTCATATGATAGTACTGTCTATCACTGTGCAACTGCAATAGTCCCACCCTGTTAATAGGGTAGATATTAACCACAGCTTGCCAACNGCTTGCTGATGTAATAAAAATAGTAGCCAAAAAACCCCTGCAGAGAAAAAACTAAATAAAATGCATTGTCTCATGCTCTACTGTGCTCCAGTTGCAACATGCTGACAGCCCGCAGAGAGAGAACGTGCATACTGATGCATTGAGGTCTCTGTCTGTGTTTGTTATTTTCACCGACCCTCCCTCTCCCTTTTCGGGTACCCACAACTCGACTGGAGCAGGTCTCCGGCATTGGAGAATAAATACTGAGACAGAACCCCAGTTCAGGGTTAATTTCCCAAAGGAGGAATGCCTCTCTCTTGAGGGTTCCAGGAAATTAACCCCTTCAGGGTATCTCACTGCTCAGAAGAAAGGGGCTTTGAGTAATCCTTTTTGCATCTCCATCACCCCGTGTGAGGCAAAGCAACATATGCACTCAGTAGGTCTCTCTTCCTCTTCCCCTGAGCTCTAGCAGCTCCAGCTTGACAGTCCTTGATTTTTAATAGTTGTAAATTAGTTGATTGTGGGAGAGGGTAACATTGGGTACTGCCTATTCTGCCATCTTCATCTGAAGTCCTATTTTTTTTAACTTGAAGTTCAATATTGTATAAAAATGTAATATAATTTAGAAATTTTGTTTCTTAATAACTGTATGTAATATCCCATCATTTACAAAATTAGTTAGATAACATACTAAGCAAAATCTGCAATCTTGGCACACCTAGTCTTCCATGCCTCTTGCTCCTGATGCCCATATTAGAGCCCAGACACACCTGTAGCTGCCTCTGGCTCTGAGCAGGTGAGACAGCTCCTCACCCCTGGACCCCCATCAACCCTCACTGGGTGCTGTAGAATCTTGGACATTCACCCACAAATCCTGTGTTTGACCCAATTTGCAGGAGGTCCCACCCTCTCCTTCCATAGCTGGAGTCTGCCCTGCCCTGGTCAAGCTGCTGCCTGGCAAGACCCCTCAAGTGGGGCTGTCCTCTCCCTACACTTTCTGCTTTGTGGATCCATTGCGGGCACGTGACAGCTGCCAGCTCCACCCAATCATTGCTCCAAGGCATCAGCTCCTTACTCTCTGTTATTTTCCCCAAACCGTGGTTATCTTAATCCTGGGGGTTCCTTCCAGCCCCCTCTGAAACACAACATTCTCACCACCCCACTGCTGGGAGTCCTGTTGACGAATACTCACATC